TAACATTCTGCTTGCGCTTACCTACTACGTGGAAGCTTCACAACGCTTTCCATGTTCAGCTACTGAAGCCCTACAAGGACCCCAACCAACAGTTCCAGGGAGGGCAGCTACCGCCACCCACCTGTTCTCATACAGGATGAACCAGAGTACGAAGTGGAGTGCGTTCTCACTCATCGGTGCCGCGGCGGCAAGACCCTCGAGTTCCTAATATGCTGGAAACGTTATGACCCCACAAAGGAAAGTTGGGTTGCAGAAGCTGATATGTGGAATGCACGCCGTGCTCTCAAGGACTATCTTGTCAAGCAGGGCGTTTCTCACGCCACTCACATTTGAGGGGGGGACGTGTGAGAGTACGACGGCTTATGCTTGCTTAAAATGCTATATCTAGCTTGGGTTTATTTTATCATGCATAGATATGCTTGATTTCCTAGGTTAGGTGCATTCCTATATGTTATTATAGTTATAGCACCGAACCGGGTTACGTGTACCGAACTCAAGCCTTTCGGTTGCCACCGAATTGCTTTCTACCGAGTTCGGGAAGGTTCTGTTCGGGACGCTTCGCGACCCTCAGAACATTCGCGTAACACCTGCCTTGTGTCGAGACTATATATAGCCTCGTGTTGTAACCAGGTGAATCATTCAATTCAAACTCTCTTTTCTGAGCTCGATCCTAGATCCTCACACGTTCTTTCCCAGCACTACCCTCGCCGTCAGTATCGTCGCCAGCATAACCCCCGCCAGCAGTACCTTCAGCACCAGTTGCTGAGGTTGTCGTCGACAACTCGGATCTCCCACCGCCGATTCGTACACGGGGTGAATGCTCGAGGGCAACCGTGCAAGAGTCTGCCCGTGTGGGACCCCTTTTCAAGAAGCTTGCAAATCCCCGTTACCATCAGATCAAGATCTCCTTTGATCGTACACCCAAGTCACCATCCAGGCAAGATCAAAGCCATCCCACCAAGGCCACCCTGACGGTTCTTGTATCGACCAGCCCTGGTGCTTCATCCAACACAGAGTTGCTCGATGTTGCTGAGAATCTGCAGCGGGAAGCGCTACTCAATTTATAAAAGAAGTGGACTATTGATTTTCCATGGCTTGATATTTGTCTGACGTTGTACGGTTTTCCTTCAATGAAGTGTACTGTCTGTATGGAGTATTGTGGCACAGGGACATTTTTTGGGAGGGGAGAAGGAGCTACAAACGTGTAGACACAAGCCATGCGCCTTCACCAGCGTTATGGAAAGCACAAGGATGCGATTCACACTCTGGCGAAGGTGAAAATCCAGCAGCGCATCGAGGACGAGCAAGTGCGGGCCCTTCTAGAGACACTCTTCTTCATTGCCAAGACTGACGCACCCATCGAGATGTGGGTGCAGCTTGTTCGGCATCTCGCCATCCGTGGCACTCCTAGCTTCCCCAAGAATGGCTACGGCTCGTACTACACACGTAAGAATTTGTATTTAAAGTTTATTTTTTCAATTCTTTGTGTACACGATATACTAACTACTATGTGTTGTCCCTACTGCAGGTACGGCTTCCAGGAGCTTGTCAAAGCTTCGGCAACCTACCTACGAGCACAACAGCGTGAGTACATCGACTCAAGCCCGCATCAGATTGAGATGCGATGCGAGCACCGATCGTGTGCGAGGGAAGCACATGATTGTGTTCCTGAAGTTTCTGCGCGATCATGTGGTGGTCACTGAAAATCTCACGCTTCTCATAATTGACAACTGTGACGCAGGTTCCCTCCATGGAGTCCTAACCGGGTACTTGGAGAGCGTCAACATCAACCTGAGCAAAGTCGCGGGAATCAGCACCGACGGCGCCATGGTGATGATCAGCGGCAGCACAGGTCTCGTTGCGCGACTTCGCCTAAGCATTCCCCATTTGGTCTCGACCCACTACTTCGCGCACCTGCGAATCCATTTTTGCTTTATCATATGTCTATTTAAAAGTCCCAGTCACTATTGCTTGCGTGTTTTACCCTCACCCTTGGCAAGGAGGCACGCGCTCCCAGTCACCCTTGTTGTTGTTGTTGTTGTTGCTGCTGCTGCTGCTGCTGCTGCTGCTGCTGATGATGTTGATGTTGTTGTTGTTGTTGTTGTTGTTGTTGTTGTTGTTGTTGTTGTTGTTTTTTCTGATTATTTTCCCACATAATATATCCGGGAGACTTCTGTAGTGTAGACTATCGATGGCATGAACTCGGCAAGTTCAAGGGAAATCTTGTACTGTCCTCCCTAAATGGCTCGTTGGTGTTTCATGTCAACTTTATTCAAGGTGGGTGTTGTAATGTTTTCACCCCGAAAGGAGGGTATAACCGAAATCCGACAAATGTTTTCACCCCGAAAGGAGGGTATAACCGAACCCCGACAAAATGCGCTAAACTACCCGCACCCGAATAAGCTACCAGGGGTCTTTAACTGCGGCAACTGGTTCATCCAGGGGGTTCACTCCAGGAAACCCGACACTTGTATATTATTGGTTTTAACAAAGCAAGCATGAAAACACATATGAAAATCTAAGAAACATACAACATTCATCAGATAATGAGGATCCTGATGCAGATTCGCATACCGTACCAACCAGGGCCTATCTTTGGATTTTTGCTACTCACGATTAGCAGTGTAGCCATTTTCAAAACCATTTTGAGTAGTGCGTCCTTTTTGGAAATACTGATGGATTAGTGTAACTTGAAGTTCTGAAAAATTTACCCAGAGGCATCAGTGTAGGTTTTTTTCCTTTTACCCTGATTGTACTGTAGGCAGCTCAGTACCATAGTTATTTTAAATCGGCTGGGTTACTCTTGGTTCAAAACGGCTTGATGTGGTCCAATACGCTTTTGCTGGGTTTTGCTCGGTCTAGTTGCAAGTTGGGCCAAGCAAGCAAGACGGGTTGGTTGGGGAAGATTTCCGTTGAGGATGTTGCAATTATCCTGATTGGTGGATAGGGTGGACCGGGGCTACGACTCGGATTCAAGTGAAACTACCGTTCTTGGTCTTTACTAGCTTCGGCAGCTAATAGATCGGTTCAGAGGTATTCAAGCCAATGCCAGTCAAAGTCTAACTAAGCCATGACTTCACCAGTTGCGTCCGTTGTACTGTATCCGATCAGCAGTTTCCTTTCTCTTACAGCCGATTGGCTGACTAGCTCAACTGTCAATTCTGCTGACGGGGAAGTGTGGCTGTAACCAATCGGCTGGCTGGCTGGCTGGCTGTTGGCTGTTTCTGCCCACCCACCCAACCCGGAGTGCTCTACCGAAACGAAATTGGTACAGTGTATGTTGCAAGTAGACACGGAGGTGGATGATGCGGTGTCGGTTGTCAGTACTCATGTGCTGGTGTTGTAGTGCATCATTACGAAATCGGGTGTATCGGGACGAAATTTCTAGAAAACTTTATCTCGATAAGTCGAGTTGGGGGGCTTCTGTACGCTCTTCAGGGAAAACTTCACTAAATTGTTTTTTTTTTTTATAAGCTGTAACGCTTTTCAAAATTTTGTATTTTGAAAGCAAAGTTGTTTGTAATGTAGGAATGGGCAGAGTCGAATCGCGCTAAACGCCCGTTTTGGAGTACAAAACGTGGGCTGGAGGTCATTTCCCTCCACCCACGTCTCTCATTTTCAAACGGTTTAGCCAATTTTCCCGCCCACCCACCCCTCGGAACTGCGACAACCGTAGTAAGATGTCTGCTTATTAGTCTGCTAGAATTGCTTGGATTTCAATTGTACTAAACCACTTGAAATGAGACGATGCCATTGCTACATGAAAGAAAGCAAGCTTTCACTAAGGAAAATATTACCCAAGTGCATCAGTGTGGCTTACACAGTTACGCTGAGATATCAGCAGGGTCCTTGCTAGGATTAGGGCCCGTCTGATGCATCAGATATTTTGCCTTTTCGTGTCTGATGCATCAGAAATTTCAAAAGAACTTGTCTGACCAATTAAAATAGACTTTCTAGCGTGTAGATGCACGTGGGATAAAAAGTTGAGTCTGACTTTTTCTTGACCTGTCACATTCATTCGAAGTACACACTGGTGTAATTCGGACTTCACTGGTCTCAGCAAAATCGCCCGAACACAGCAGATTCGCCCTGTCAGAGCACAAAATATTCGCCCAATTAGAGCAAATTCGCTCTGACACGGCAGATTCGCGACGTCAGAGCGCAACATTTTCGTCCAATCATAGAAAACTCGTCCTGACACAAGAGATTCGACCTTACACAACAAAGCAGATTCGCTTTGACAACAGATTCGCCCTGTCAGAGCATGTTCTGCGGGAAATCCCCGTACTCTAACATGTTTCGGTTTCAGACGAAACATATATTACACTTCTGATGAATCAGATGAAAGCAAAAAATCATTTCTACTCAATCAGATGAAAAAATAAATCATTCCTTGAAAACCAGATTAACTAGAAAAAAAACGTCTGGAAACTAAGACAAACAGACAAAAATGTCTGATGTCGAGGACCCTGGATATCAGAGAAAATTATAATCCGCCAAAAAATTACCCAAACAGATCAGAGTCACCCCTAAATTTCACCCTTGTATTCAGTATAGAAGGGTAAATTACACTGATAAAATAGGCCCTTACCAACTGACAAGCCCACACTAATCCAAAATTATATTTATGGCACACAAATAAACCTGGAGCCTACACTCCCAACACACTTCTTCTCATTGTACATGTAGTATTTTGAAATGGCCCCATTCTGAGCTCCACCATAGAAGCTGTATGCACCTGAGCACGTCAATGATGGTGATACTGGTTTTTGCCTACCCTTCTTGCATATGCCGACATCGAATGACCAATACTCTGCTCGTAGGCAAATCTGCCATGGCGCCATTTACAAACACAAGGAGTGCAAGGAACATATAATGAGGGAGTACAAGAGATTGGCACAATACGAAAAAAAATCCTTACTAATGATTAAGGGCAATCAGTTGGAACAAAGGCTTACGAATCTTGCAGCAAGAGCACATGAGGAACGACATTTGCACCCTCACCCATCAAACACCCCTTCATTCCACAGTTTTCCCTCCACCTTTTCCTCCCATCTTTTGGCCCCCATCCCTCCTTGTCCATTCTCCCCTCCACCACTCACCTGCACGCCAGTGTTACTTCCAACATCAGAGGCGGTAGTCGGGATGACATCGGAGCAGATGAGGCCGGGATTGTTGCGGTACAGCTCAGCCCAGCGCATGGCATTCACCTCCCCAGCCCCTGTGGGGTCGCCCTCACTCCCCGCCACCTGCCGCAGCAGGCGTTCGCACGTGTCCTGTGGTGTGAGCACGCCGTATCGCGAGCACTGAGGGACGGTGAAAGCGAAGGTGGCGTTGCGCTCAACGCACAGAGAGCGACCCGGCTTGATGGGCTCTGAGCAGTTGAGGCCGGGATTGAGAGCGGTGAGGTTGCTGGTTGTGAAGCCCAGCTGCGCACTGATGGACCAGCATGTGTCGCTCTGAAGGGTTGAATAATGGGAGAAAGGCACAAATGCCCGCGGTGAATGGAGTACGGCTTCACTATGAGCAATTCAATCTACGCTGAGTCTATAAAGACTGCCTTGCTGAGCTGATGTGAAACAGAGGACAAAGCTAATGGAGGGTGTAAAAGAAAGCTTTAGAGGTTTGAACAACAGGAGAGAAGGTATATTACAGAAGCCCTGGAGGTGAAAGCAGGACGGCTGTACTTCATGCAATGCTGAAGTAGGCTGGGTTGCTAGAATATTATTGATTGGCCAAGTAGAACAAAGTGAGACGATCTGGGAAGAGAGGAATGATTCGGTGAAATATAGAAGACGGAAGAACAACAAGGGCGATAGCTCACTCACGCTGATGGTGTAGAAGAATGCGGTGCAGGGAATGAGGAGAGAATTCCCCAGCTGAAGCACCACGCCACGAGGCAAAGGACGACTGCAGTCAATGGCCTGCGATGAGGAGCAAAAACGTCATAGGATTTGAAGTATAGCCAAGTAAAGCATTCCGTGGGGCTACTGCGTCCATACAAATTAGCCAATAACTTTGATAGGTTCCCCTGGACATTGCAGTTAATGCTCTCCTGCTCTAACACCATCTCTGCATGCATCTCCACTCTACTGCTTACCGCATTATTCTGCATTAATTGTGCAAGTGAGAGGCCCACAAGAGGGAGGACATCGGAGCACCACCAGTTGCTGCCACTAACTGCCAGAGTGCTGGCCGTGGTGTTGGCTGAAGAGGGATGATGAGATCGAAAGAAGGGGAACACACCAAATAGAGGGGCTTAACTGAAAACAAAGTCAATAGTTTTTTATTACAGATGAAACTGCAGACAATCGAACTACAGCATTTTTCGGCCGTTCAGTTCGACATCAAACCGGTTCGGTTCGGTAATTTTCTCATGCCTACCGGAAAGCACAAGCAGTTTGAGAGGGTCGTGATGACCCCAAAATTTGGTACAATAATAAATGATAAAAGTAGTGACCATATTGCAAACAAGGCCAAAGCAGCATCACCTGGGTCGCAGGTGGGGAAGTTGTCAATGGTCGTGCTTTCAACGTAGTTGGGAGGGCAGATGCAGGAGTAGGAGCCCTTGCTGTCGTTGATGCATGTGCCCACATAGCAGGGGTTCTTTAAGTCAGAGCCACACACGTCCACTGGCAAGCGACACGAAGCACAAAAAGATATACATGTGTTGTAAGCAAAGGGATGAGTGGGTGGAGAGAGGGGGAGGACATCTACAAGCCCAAAAAGATTTACATAGACAGAGGTTTCGTTAAAGAAATCTTTGATGAACAAACCAAGAAACTATTTTGACAATGGCCATGGATAAACATCATTATCTGAGAACGAAACGACTTACAATAGGCACATGTTTGGGATCCGTATCCATTTGCAAATTGAACAAATGGCTGCCTGGCTTCATTCGAAAGCGAGCAGTTACACGAGTTGGTGTTACTGCGCAGGTTAGCTCGGCATGTGAACCGCCCACACGGGTTCATGCTGGGCTGAAGGTCACCGTCACCCTTGAAGCTCCTCTGGCCGCACGGGTCCTTGGGAACTGGAGGGTGGTACAGACAAGAGAGAGCAGGAGTAGTAGAAATGGGTGCAAATGCAGCTTCATTGAAAAATGTGAGCCAAGGAATGAGCAAGGTTAGCCAAGTGAGAGGTGTAAGGTCTGGAAAATGCGAGTTGGAAACTCACCATCTTACGAACGTGGACAGCACTGCCTCACACTCTCTTCTCTCTGTTGACCATGTCTCCACCCCACTCTACTCAATGGCTGTGATTTACATTTTTCTGTTCCTTCCACTCTGGACCAGTGACATTGACCCTGAGATGTGATGTACTTGAATTGAAGGGATGAGGAGATCGAGATACGACGGGGGAAGTTGCTTCACTCGACGGTAGGTGTCTCACTCTTGACAATGGGGTAGATGCCAGGCAGCACGTTGATGCCACACACGCCATCACCTCCCTGAATGTCCATACGCATGTGGCCCCTATCACCCCACTCCACTCCCCAAGAATTGCGGATAATCCAAAACGGAGGCGCAATGCGATTTTGGCTGCCGTCATTTCTGAAGACGAAGTAGCCAACCACGAGTACAGCGTGGTTCAGTCTGCCGGTGTAGCAGCCAGGTTCTTGGTACTTGTAGGTCTGAAGAGAAAGGGGACATCGCAACAAAAATGGGAATGGGTGTTTTAGTAATGTACTGTACAGATTGATGTGGGTAACAACTTTTGTAAAACAAAATTCAACGTATGTACATCATACAGGGTCCATGCAGGCACCACCCACCCCGTCATATTGCGCGAATCCTCGAGCAGAAGCCTCTATGTGAACCACCACTGGCTGTCGTCGAACTGCCAGCATGAGCCCCACAAACCCCTTGAACCGAGTGCGCTCAAATGCGTGAACAGGGTACTTCTTATTCTGTAGGTTGACAACTCAAAGGGAATTTCGCAACATGTTGGAAGGAAGAGTCCTCAACAGAAAGAGAACAACATTTTATTGCTGAAAATGCATGCAACAAGTAAAGACTAACCTTGTTTATAACCTAGCCAATTCTAGCAAGCAGTACAACATTGGGGTACATAATAAGATGGTTACAACATACGTTATATACTCATTTAACTTGAAATGTGGTTGTGTTAGGGAATCTCAAAGATGGGTTCTAAGCTGTACAAATGAGCAGGAGTCTAACGTGTTTCCAGATATATTGCAGATAGTGTTAAGGTTGTATTGCGAATATGAATCGAATACACCCAGCTTTCACTTCTCTTTTGAATTATTATTCATCATAGTTGTAGTCATCCCACACAGAATGATCTAGGTCTGGAGCGTGAAAGCTTTATCTCCCCAGCACACGGTGTGTACAAATCCCTCGATCACTCCAGCATTAGGGGAAAAATACTTGATGAATGGATACCACGCAAATACCGAGTTCTTTGTTTACAGGCTTAGTCAGCCCTCCCTCGGTTTGTCGTGGTAGAATACGTTCGTCTCTTGCATGAATAGGTTGGCCTTTTTGCATCGACCAATCCATTTTAGCATATCCAACTTCGAGATAACTGTTATGCTACAGAGAAATTCGTTCAGCTCTGTTAGAGATTGCAACCGTTGACAGTGACTGCATCTATCCTCTCTAGCCTTCTACTCCTCCGCCTCACTACTCACAGGTGCGCCAGCCTCTGTGATTCCGCCATTGGGCAGCGTGAGAAGCGTTTCAAGCGCCTCGGTGGGGGAGCCCCCCGTGCTGCACTTGTCAGCCTCGGAGGTGAGCCCCATGGCTGCAAAGAGTGACTCCACTGACAGCTGCGGCGCCTCTCCATTCGTTGCAATGCCGTATGCCGCTTCCACGCTCGCCACCAGCGCAAACGCCCAACAAGCATCTGGGTATGTGAAGAACAGTTTCGTGATTAAACAAAGTGGATCCGAAGAGTGTTGAATCAAAATTGGTGAATAACCAGATTGGATCCTAAGCACGTATTGAGCCGAGTATTGTGAGATGGCTGGCTGAAACATGTGGTCAGCAGCAGAGCAGCAGGCGGAGAACAAGCAACCATCCACGACACACCAGCCAAGCCATTGGCTCCAACATGCTTCGCCATTCATTTCACTCACTGCAGTCTTTCTGGTCCTTGACAGGCCAGCCAAGAAAGGGCACGGAGTCCCAGGAGTGGAAGTCGCTGACGACCCACGAGTCCTGCTTGCTGGGCGCCACTCGGTAGTCCGCACTCACGTAGCGCGGGAAGGGGCTGGCCCACTCTGGCATGTACGTGTTTGTTAATATCTGCAGGCCATAGGCTGGGATGCTCTCAGGAGTTGCATGATGGAGGAATGAATGGGATGTGAACAAGACAAGTTGTAACAAGGGCAATATAGTCAAGACTCTCTTTCCCACACTTTGCTTGTCTGCATCTCTTATGTCATACTATCTGCACCTCATGTGGCTGTTGGTTGATTACCACTTCACATCCATCAAACAGGCACTCCGTTCCACCCTGCTCCATATATTCAGTGCTGATGCACCTGTATTGATACCTCCTTCGGCAACTGTAATGTATTGAGGCACCTTCCCTAATTCGGTACACCGTAACGTTGCGCAGATTCTGTTTTCATTCCTTTTCAGTTTCTTTTAGAAAACGTATACTGTAAACATGATTTTGGGATGTTGGTTGGTGCACTGTGCAGTGCACCGTTTACCACCTTGGCTGAATAGCTTCCCTCTTACCTTTTCTACTGGAGGCATACGAAATCCATGTTGAAAACATCCAGGGGTGCCGAAAAAGGGAAGACGAGGTACAGGGACATGCAGGTGGTAAGTAAAACAAACGAGAGGACCAATATGAGTAGACTGTACAGATGATTATAACAGTCAGTCAGATACAACGCTTGCCCCCTTCGCCCTCCTTTGTCAGTCGCAACTGGGGTGCTTGCGAGTGTTCCAGCACGAGCATGACAAACGATCTCTCACCTGGAGTACGTGTGACTGGTCGGGGAGAAGCGGGAAGGCCTGGGAAAGGGCAAAGCAATTGGAGAAAAATACGAGGTTTTGTGTTTAGGGCCTCGCCACTAGCCCAATGCCAGTTTAGCTTGCTCGATTCTCAAAATGCTCGTTAAAAGGGAGAGTAACGAACCAGGTCGTCTGAGTGCAGAGCAAACTTGGTCGATCTTTACTCGACAACTCGAGACTCGATCGAGTCAGCGTAAAAGCGAGTAGAGCAGAACTCGACTCTTGTAACGTGTTCTGCTCATGTCTATGCTTGCTAACCTGTGTCCACTGTAGATTCAAGAATGACGTGCTTCTGAAATGGCTTCACAGTGGTGGACGCCACAAAGCCAAAGAAGAAGGCGTGCTGCTCGGGCCCACCCTGCAGCACCTCACACAGCGCCAGCCTCCTCTCCAGCAGTGCCTGCTGCGGCTTCTCCTTCGAGTCATCCAGGAAGACCTGGATGGTGCCGGGATCCCCCGGCTCATAGTCCACCCATGCCGTGTATGACCTCTTGCTGCTTAGAGGGAATGGAGACGGCACAGCGGCTAGCGACTTGTCCTCGCCTCGAATGTTCAGCCCCACATGCTGGCTGCGCATGTCGCCGTGCTGCTTGTCCTGCCCAGTGTCAAACTCAACTGCCACACTCCGCTTGTCCATTCCACCATACCCCACACCGGCGCCGCTCCCCACCCGGTCGGTTGCCGAGATAACAAAGGCAAAGCCGTTGAAGCCCACGCGGCCGGATTGAGGCGAGAGGGAGAAGGTGAAGTTGGCATGGAAGGCGAGCTGCAGCCCACAACCCGACAGCCCCTGCCATGCCTCGTACACAAACAGAGTCACCGGAGCTGTGGTGAAGTTCCCCCTCGTCTCCCGCTGCGTCCCCTTGGTGAGCACAGATACTGGCGGGAGGACCAGCTGGCTGCTTGAGTAATTCCTGTTCTGGCCTGCACAAATAAATGTAACGGACATGCAAACAGGAGTGGGATATGGAGGCATGAGAGGGTCAGATGACGTGCAAGGGTTACAAATTCCAACCAGTTTACCACCATTCATATGGATTTCATGTGATTTGGAAAAACGTTTACCACCATTATGTGAATCTGCAGGCATGTTCCATCGACTTCAAGTGGTGTCTCCTACCTTGAGCAACACAGCCCATGTCTCCAAACCGCACGAATCCCACATCACACAGACACGTGGGTGTCAAGTTAGGCCCCTGTGGATAGCACACCCCATGTCCACCGCACGCAGCAGCACCACCAGCTGCAGAGGAGACGCCACAGAATGCATTGCATGCTGTCTCCTGCCGCTGCGGCACCAAGGCACAGCCTAGAGGCAACGTGAAGCAGTTGGCATAAAAAGAAAATGGCTGGCATGCCCCGTCGGGCAGAGGGCCTGAGAGGAAGTTGCTGGAGAGATCGAGGGTGCCCACAGCAAGAGGCTTCAGCGTGCGGCCCGTGAGGTAGTTGTGAGAGAGGTCGCTGCAGAGGGGAGGGGCAAGTGCCGGGAGAAGGATGGATGGGGATCGCCTCAATGCATCTTTATTTGAAACATTAGAGTGCAGGCAGCGAAAATGTGAGAAGTTGTTGAGTAGAGTGTACAGATGAGGGAGCAGAAGGCAGAAGGGGACGCACACGGGCAGGCAGAAAAGATGAAGAGCAGAATGGGAAGGGGAGGTGGTCGGGGAGGATGTCAGAACTTGAGCTTAGAATCCATACATTAGTAATGAGCTTGAAGCTCTCCAAGTACATCCAGGATGAGCAAGGAAATGGATCGGGAGGGAATCGGGGGCAATCTCTAGGGGTTGGGGGTAATCCCAAGGCGATCTCCAATTGGTGGGTTGGAGATTGCTTGGAGATCACATTTGGGTTTGGTTGGGATGTGGGTCTACACCCAACCAGACACAAAGTGCAAACTACACTAAACTAGGATGTAAAAAGGTGAGATTGAGGGCTAACAACAACCGAGGATGTAGAAGAGGATGTGGAAGAAGAGGCATATGCGGATGGAGGGGTGAGACGAGGGAAGTAACTGAGGGATGTGAAGACGGGTCTATAGGGCACTGGCAGGTCAAACACGGGCACACATGTGGTGTTACATTGAAGGATTTGTTTTTCTGATTGGCATTAGTGTTCAAAGTTCGTTAATCTCACATTTAAACTTTCCCCTTATTTCTCGAGAATGTATTGTCTTGATGGTTGTGATTAGAGAGCATGCATGGCATGTCAGCAAGCGTGCGTGCAACATAAGCATGCATGGCATGGCAGGTGCCCCTGTGTCTCGCACACATCATGGTTTAGGAAGTGCAATGAGCGAGCCTGATTTTAACAAGTACAAGAGGGAGACTGCCAGGGCAAGCAAAAGAAAGTGAGGTAATGTGTCGGTCGTACAAGAATGTGAGCTGTGTGAGCTGGGTGAGAGTGCTTGGTATGCTCCCATACAGCTGGTTGAAGGCGAAAGACCTGGTGGCCATGGTGGTGAGACGGAAGGATGTTAGAGGAGCGACGGGAAGGATAGAACTGGAGAATCAGGGCGGTCGGGCTACCAGGTTCGCTGAGTGAGCGGTTTTTAAGATTGAAGGGATACCAACCACGGCTTGCGGCGTGATGGTGATACAGAAGAATTGTGCACGGTTCAAATGCTAGATTCACATGCTAGATGTGCATTCTAAATTGACTTGTATAATTCATGTGCTAGGTTCGTGCTTGGTCGCGACGAACCGGCCTGGTTCGACTTTCAGCAAGCCACCAAAAGCCTAAATGCCGGTTCGGCCCAACTTGGGCCGAACCTAGTTTGGGCCGAACCAAGTTCGTTCGTCCACTCTTGCCTGCCTACAGAGGGTTAGAGGAGAGGATTAGGAGTGAATACCGGACAAAATCAGAAATGATGGTCGCTGTAGGCAGGTGTAAGCTGAGTTGTTTGCGATGCCCACATATGATATTTCCGGTCTTCCTACAGTTTCTTGTTATTATCCTAAGCTGAACACGCCCTAGGTTCAGTTTGGATTTCACCCCAACCTGCTCTATAACCTTCTACAGGTGAGCACAGAACCAAACGTAGGTTCAGTTCGGGCTCGACTAGCTCGTACCTTGCTATGTTCAACTTTCACACACAGACCTTGAACAGCTGACATGCATACAACAACCGTTCGGTTCGAACCAAACCTTTTAACAACAGTTCAACCCAGTTCAAACCGAACCCATTTGGGTAACGTTCCATTTGGATGTTGTAAGATGTCAAACTTTTCTCTTGCCACCTACTACTCACTATTAGGAGACATGAGAGCATGACCAAACCCGAACCGGCTCTGGTTTTGCTGACTCGAAGCTGAACCAATTTGGATTCAACCGGTACTGAGCATGCAGCTACTTAGCATTTTCCTAAGTCTGAACGGCAATTGGGGTGGGATGTGTAGTAGACAGAATTGCTAGAAGGAGAAGTAGGAAGCGGAATGAACTCTGTTGGGAAGTGGAATGAACTCTGTTGGGAAGCGGAATGCACTTTGTTGGGAAGCGGAATGAACTCTGTTGGGAAGCGAAATGAAATCTGTTGGAAAGCGAATGAAATCTGTTGGGAAGCGAAATGAAATCTGTTGGGAAGCGGAATGAACTCTGTTGGGAAGCGGAATGAACTCTGTTGGGAAGCGGAATGAACTCTGTTGGGAAGCGGAATTAACTCTGTTGGGAAGTGGAATGGTTGGGAAGCGGAATGAACTCTGTTAAGAAGCGGAATGAACTCCGTTGGGAAGCGGAATGAACTCTGTTGGGAAACGGAATGAACTCTGTTGGGAAACGGAATGAACTCTGTTGGGAAGCGGAATGAACTCTGTTGGGAAGCGGTATGAACTCTGTTGGGAAGCAGAATGAAGTCTTTTGGGAAGCGAAATGAACTCTGTTGAGAAGCTGGAAAGTAAACTAGACATGACGAGTGCAGTTGGGCTGGCTGTTAAGTAACGTGAGTGGAATTTGTTGGGGGATGTTTTGGACAGGTTGAAGTTCGCAGATGGCATGGGTTTCAATGCGGTACTAATCCGATTTGTTAATTCTGAACTGCCAGATGCAAATGAAAACTTCGAAGGAACATTCCCGCTTTTCTAGACCACCTGATTGCATCTCAACTTCGGCAAAATGCTCAAGGGAGATTTCACATCTTTCCGTATACACACAATTGTTTCCCGAGCAGCCCCTAAGAAAGTCTGACTGCGTATAGCGCATCAGTTAGCGCATAGCGTTTTGCGTATAAACGCAATTGTATACATGCGATACGCTTTAGATATTCCAACTTGGATTGTTTGTTGCTGATGCCAGAGACAAACGACACATTTGTGATAACAAAAAGAAAACCTTATTCAGAGTAGAGATTTTCATAAACCTCCAGCACTTGCATTTGGTTTGGCCAGAGTGGCAAACGTCTGAAACAATTTGGATTGGATCTGATGGTCAGGCTGAATGAAATCAACTTGACACAAACTGCGCACGGTGCTGGTTCAGTTCGGCCATACATGAGGAACGATTCGACATGAACTTGATCTCCAATCCTGCCTTGAAACTCCCTAAAAAACGCTCATGTTCCGGGCGAAGCGCAGCCGGTTCGATGTGCTGAACAAGTTCCATGCCATGCATGGGATTCACATCTCGAACCAGTTTGAGTCAATTCAATCCCTGAATGGGTTCGAACCAAAAGGCAAAGGGCCCCCGTTTGGTTTTCTGCTCACCTCTAGCATATGGAAGTGTAAAAAAGCAGGAGAATCAGAAAAGAAGCACAGCTGGAGTTCCATTTTACAACACATATATAATATGAAACAAACAGGAAGAGGTGGGCAGAAGAAGGGGAGGGAAGTGCAGGGACTAGCTTACAGGGATACGAGTTTTGTCATGTTACCAATCTCAGGAGGAATTGAGCCAGTGAGCTTATTGTGATGGAGACTCCTGCATGGAGGAACAAGGAGTGCGATTGCAAGAGAGGCAGAGGCAATGAGCCGGAAAATTTCAAAAGTCATGTCGGTCACCAAATAGTTCAATCCAAGCCAAACAGGAACAAGGTTCGTATAGTACACATGAGCGAATTCTCGAGCCCAATTAAGACCATGGCGGTTCGTCATGTGTCCAACCGGACCTTTTTTGGTGTCGGTTGTCCAACCTGAGCCTGGCCCTTTTAAAGTGGCCCGGCCCCTTGTGTTGCTTTCGGTGTGACGAAGCAAGCCAGATTGTCACGAGGCACGGCTGTAGTAGGTAGGTAGGCACGATGAACTCGAGGTTCGAGCGAATTGGCTAACCAACCCAAAATGCTCGATTTGTCCATGTCGGTTCTGGTCTGCGTCGGGGGATGTGGAGGCAGGTCTACAGGGCACGGCAACTGCGAGCATACATGTGATGTTGCATGTGGTAATGCGTGCATGCATACTTGGTATACCCATGTCTCTAAACCCGCCACGTACACTCTAATTGGCATACATTAGAATCAACGACGACAAAAATCTTAGGGGCGCTGGAGCAGCAACACAGCCATCCCTGCAGTGCTGCTACGGTCAGCTTCCACAAAAAAAAGTGCATGCTTGGAACGTCCAAAATCCAGTCACGTGGAGCAGGTTGAAGGAACTATTTCCTGCTTCGTTGGTACTGAGTAGTGTTTAATGTTCCTTAACCACACTCCAAAACTTGATCATAGTGATTAGAGAGTATGAATGGAATGACAGCGAGGCAGAAAGTGCGATAAGAGTGCATGCAATGCAATAGGGTTGAGCACAAACCGAACTCAAACGTATTTGGGCGAACTTTTGCGAACTTTGTTTCCTAGTCAAACCGAACCGAACATGTTTGGTCGATCTTTTTTTTTACATTTTTTTTGGTTTGAGGTTCGCATATACCATGGCGAACCTTAAATGCTCGCCCAAACTGTAAAGATTTGTGCGAACTCAGGGGGGTCATTTCATGATAATCATATC